GGCGTCGTGAGGGAGCTTGTTCCACCATTGGGGTGCCAGAGCGAACAGTTTTGACTGGGCTGAGCGGGAACTATGCTTCCGCAGAGGAAGGGGAGCCAGCAGGCCAGAGGTGGATGAACGCAATGCCCTCGTTTGGGTGTAGGGACTGATCAGAGCCTGAAAGTACGGAGGTGCCGTTCCCCTCACTGCTCCATAGGCAAGCACCATGGTCTTGTAACGGATGCGAGCTTCAACTGGAAGCCAGTGGAGTGTGCGGAGGAGGGGGGTGACGTGAGAGAACTTGGGAAGGTTGAACACCAGACGGGCTGCGGCATTCTGGATGAGTTGTAGGGGTTTAATGGCACAGGCAGGGAGCCCAGCCAACAGCGAGTTGCAGTAATCCAGACGGGAGATGACAAGTGCCTGGATTAGGACCTGTGCCGCTTCCTGTGTAAGGCAGGGTCGTACTCTCCGAATGTTGTAGAGCATGAACCTGCAGGATCGGGTCACCGCCTTGATGTTAGCGGAGAACGACAGGGTGTTGTCCAGGGTCACGCCAAGGCTCTTCGCACTCTGGGAGGAGGACACAACGGAGTTGTCAACCGTGATGGCGAGATCATGGAACGGGCAGTCCTTCCCCGGGAGGTAGAGCAGCTCCGTCTTGCCAGGGTTCAGCTTGAGGTGGTGATCCGTCATCCATACTGATATGTCTGCCAGACATGCAGAGATGCGATTCGCCACCTGGTTATCAGAAGGGGGAAAGGAGAAGATTAGTTGTGTATCGTCAGCGTAGCAATGATAGGAGAGGCCATGTGAGGATATGACAGAGCCAAGTGACTTGGTGTATAGGGAGAAAAGGAGAGGGCCTAGAACTGAGCCCTGGGGGACACCAGTGGTGAGAGCACGTGGTGCGGAGACAGCTTCTCGCCACGCCACTTGGTAGGAGCGACCGGTCAGGTAGGACGCAATCCAGGAGTGAGCCGCGCCGGAGATGCCCAGCTCGGAGAGGGTGGAGAGGAGGATCTGATGGTTCACAGTATCAAAGGCAGCTGACAGGTCTAGAAGGACAAGAGCAGAGGAGAGAGAGTTAGCTTTAGCAGTGCGGAGAGCCTCCGTGACACAGAGAAGAGCAGTCTCAGTTGAATGACCAGTCCTGAAACCTGACTGGTTTGGATCAAGAAGGTCATTCTGAGAGAGATAGCAAGAGAGTTGGCTAAAGACGGCACGCTCAATAGTTTTGGAAAGAAAAGAAAGAAGGGATACTGGTCTGTAGTTGTTGACATCAGTGGGATCGAGTGTTGGTTTTTTGAGAAGGGTTGCAACTCTCGCTCTCTTGAAGACGGAAGGGACATAGCCAGCGGTCAAGGATGAGTTGATCAGCGAGGTGAGGTAGGGGAGAAGGTCACCGGAGATGGTCTGGAGAAGAGAGGAGGGGATGGGGTCAAGCGGGCAGGTTGTTGGGCGGCCTGCAGTCACTAGTCGCAAGATTTTATCTGGAGAGAGAGGGGAGAAAGAAGTCAAAGCATAGGGTAGGGCAGTGTGAGCAGGACCAGCAGTGTCATTAGACTTAACAAACGAGGATCGGATGTCGTCAACCTTCTTTTCAAAGTGGTTGACGAAGTCATCCACATAGAGGGGGGGGGGGGGGGGGGGGAGGATTCAGCAGTGAGGAGAATGTGGCAAAGAGCTTCCTAGGGTTAGAGGCAGATGCTTGGAATTTAGAGTGGTAGAAAGTGGCCTTAGCAGCAGAAACAGATGAAGAAAATGTAGAGAGGAGGGAGTGAAAAGATGCCAGGTCGGCAGGGAGTTTAGTTTTCTTCCATTTCCGCTCAGCTGCCCGGAGTTCTGTTCTGTGAGCTCGCAATGAGTCATCAAGCCACGGAGCTGGAGGGGAGGACCGAGCCGGCCGGGAGGATAGGGGACACAGGGAGTCAAAGGATGCAGAAAGGGAGGAGAGGAGGGTTGAGGAGGCAGAATCAGGAGATTGGAGGGAGAAGGATTGAGCAGAGGGAAGAGATGATAGGATGGAAGAGGAGAGAGTAGTGGGAGAGAGAGAGCGAAGGTTGCGGCGGCGCCTTACCATCTGTGTAGGGGCAGAGTGAGTAGTGTTGGAGGAGAGCGAGAGAGAAAAGGATACAAAGTAGTGGTCGGAGACATGGAGGGGAGTTGCAGTGAGGTTAATAGAAGAGCAACATCTAGTAAAGATGAGGTCAAGCGTATTGCCTGCCTTGTGAGTAGGGGGGGACGGTCTCATAATGCTCTCATAATGCTCTGATTGAGAATATCCTATGTTTAGGCTATATAACTTTAGGACAGCACCTTCTTAAGCTAGAATATTTGGGAAATAAGCTACTGTTCATAACTTTAAAAGGTTAACTTTACCTTTTAAAGGTACTACATGTAACAGACCCACCTCTTTTTGTCAAATTGACTGGGGCCAGCAAATCTGTTGTTGTCAAATTGACTGGGGCCAGCAAATCTGTTGTTGTTAAATTGACTGGGGCCAGCAAATCTGTTGTTGTCAAATTGACTGGGGACAGCAATTCTCTTGTTTTCAAATTGACTGGGGCAGAGCGATTTCTACATGTTTGGGGCTTACCCTTTGCTGACCCCAGTCAATTTGACAACAACAGATTTGCTGGCCCCAGTCAATTTGACAACAACAGATTTGCTGGCCCCAGTCAATTTGACAACAGATTTGCTGGCCCCAGTCAATTTGACAACAGATTTGCTGGCCCCAGTCAATTTGACAACGAGATTTGCTGGCCCCAGTCAATTTGACAACAACAGATTTGCTGGCCCCAGTCAATTTGACAGCAACAGATTTGCTGGCCCCAGTCAATTTGACAACAACAGATTTGCTGGCCCCAGTCAATTTGACAACAACAGATTTGCTGGCACCAGTCAATTTGACAACAACATATTTGCTGACCCCAGTCAATTTGACAACAACAGATTTGCTGACCCCAGTCAATTTGACAACGAGATTTTCTGGCCCCAGTCAATTTGACAACGAGATTTGCTGGCCCCAGTCAATTTGACAACAAGATTTGCTGGCCCCAGTCAATTTGACAATGAGAGACGGTCTGTCGTTTGTTGACCAATAAGAAGGCTGCTCCATTAGAATGCAATTTTGTGTGGGAAAAAAAATATAGATATATTAAGGACATTTTCTGAAATTACAATGCAAAAATATTACATATAACTCCTTTAACTTTTCTTAAAGCTTTTATGATAGGCCTACTAGGAGGATAGGTTATTGCATGGAGGGATTTTCCCGGCCCGCATGGATAATTTATTTCTTAATAAGATTAAACTTGATTAAACTTGTCATTAGATTTTTTCTACAGGCTATTGAGATAGTTTGTTCTCTCTCATGGCTAACTTAAATGTTTAGGCTATTCAAATAACTTTTTAAGATGGAACTCTGTTACATTCATTGTTTGATCGAGATAAAGCCATGCATAAGATGGTAAAAGTGTAGCCTATAGCCCAAAGTCATATTCATAGTTGATAGTCTATCGAATGGAGAGAGAAGGGAATGCAGACTGGGTTTTTAAACAGCTAAACAAGATAGTTGTTTATTTCAGGGTAGTGGGTTCGAACCCCGGGACCACCCATACACAAAAATGTATGCACGCATGACTGTAAGTCGCTTTGGATAAAAGCGTCTGCTAAATGGCATATTATTATTATATAGTTAAGGAGTGTCCGTTATTTTAAAATAATATATCGATTTAGGCTATAGTCTTAAGGCCCATGCATTCGACAGAGAGAGAAACTATGTTTTCTGACTGGACATTTAGCGCTGCTTTGGTGGAATTCGCCGCTCTGTCTGGCCTACATTACTCTTGCTTTCTGTATATAACATATGCTCTGTCTGGCCTACATTACTCTTGCTTTCTGTATATAACATATGCTCTGTCTGGCCTACATTACTCTTGCTTTCTGTATATAACATATGCTCTGTCTGGCCTACATTACTCTTGCTTTCTGTATATAACATATGCTCTGTCTGGCCTACATTACTCTTGCTTTCTGTATATAACATATGCTCTGTCTGGCCTACATTACTCTTGCTTTCTGTATATAACATATGCTCTGTCTGGCCTACATTACTCTTGCTTTCTGTATATAACATATGCTCTGTCTGGCCTACATTACTCTTGCTTTCTGTATATAACATATGCTCTGTCTGGCCTACATTACTCTTGCTTTCTGTATATAACATATGCTCTGTCTGGCCTACATTACTCTTGCTTTCTGTATATAACATATGCTCTGTCTGGCCTACATTACTCTTGCTTTCTGTATATAACATATGCTCTGTCTGGCCTACATTACTCTTGCTTTCTGTATATAACATATGCTCTGTCTGGCCTACATTACTCTTGCTTTCTGTATATAACATATGCTCTGTCTGGCCTACATTACTCTTGCTTTCTGTATATAACATATGCTCTGTCTGGCCTACATTACTCTTGCTTTCTGTATATAACATATGCTCTGTCTGGCCTACATTACTCTTGCTTTCTGTATATAACATATGCTCTGTCTGGCCTACATTACTCTTGCTTTCTGTATATAACATATGCTCTGTCTGGCCTACATTACTCTTGCTTTCTGTATATAACATATGCTCTGTCTGGCCTACATTACTCTTGCTTTCTGTATATAAACAATGCTCTGTCTGGCCTACATTACTCTTGCTTTCTGTATATAACATATTTATTCAAATAGGCTATAGCAAATAGGAATAGTCAAATTACTCTCACTCTCAAACTATAATTTTGATGTTATGGATGGTAAGTCCTTGAATCCATAGCTCAGTCTATACATTTGAAAGTGGTTACATTTCTCAAGCCTCATTCCACAGCTGTTTACCAAAACAATTATATTTATTGGGGTGCCCGTTTTGTTGTTGTTGGAATCCCAGATTGCTCCTTTAATTAAAGTACAATATTTTTTATGGTATGAAAAATCTGTTTGCTGAGTAATAAGTCCACAGTCACAAAGGAAGGGTATGCAGGCCTACATGTTTTTAATCAATGATCATTTTCACCATGAAAATCATATTTTATGCAACACAGGAAAATGATATAAGACTTTGCTCTTGTTTATTCAGCAAATTCTTCTCTTGTTTATTCAGCAACTTATTTTCCCTGTAAGAAGAAACAAAAGAAAAGAATGGATCAGTAGTAATAATGAACGTGCAATATATACGCTATATATTCAAAAGTATGTGGACCCTCCATTTCATGAAGCTCCCGACAAACAGTTATTGTGCTGACGTTGCAGTTTGGAAATTGGTAGTGAGTGTTGCAACCAAGGACAGAAGATTTTTACGCGCTACGCGCTTCAGCACTTGCCGGTCCTGTTCTGTGAGCTTGTGGCCTACCACTTTGAGGCTGAGCCGTTGTTGCTCCTAGACGTTTCCACTTCACAATAACAGCACTTACAGTTAACCGGGGCAGCTCAAGCAGTGCAGAAATTTGACGAACTGACTTGTTGGAAAGGTGGCATCCTATGGCGGTGCCATGTTGAAAGTCACTGATCTCCTCAGTATTGCCAACGTTTTGAGATTGCATGGCTTTGTGCTCGGATTTGATACACCTGGCAGCAACTGGTGTGGCTGAAATAGCCGAATCCACTAATTTGAAGGGGTGTCCACATACTTTAGTGTATATATATATAGTGAATCTTAAATACGTATGAGTGAGTGTAAGACATTAGTATTGACTTCTGTGAAGACTGAATCATAGGTGGTGTTGACGTGTTGATATTTTAGCATGAGTCAGGTATAGGTTCAGGCAGCAGCTCTGTACCTTTCCAGTGTCGCGGGTCTTGGCTCTGAGCTTGTTGACCTGAGTCTCAGCGATGTCAGCACGCTCCTCAGCCTCCTCCAGCTCATGCTGCACCTTCCTGAACTTAGACATGTGGCTGTTGGCTTGTTCCTCCTGGGTGAGGAAAAGAGAGAGAGAGCATAACATTAGCATTCAAAGTTTGAAAATTAATGATTTTTTTAAAGGTGTTTAAAACAAATATGTACAGTGGGGAGAACAAGGATTTGATACACTGCCGATTTTGCAGGTTTTCCTACTTACAAAGCATGTAGAGGTCTGTAATTTTTATCATAGGTACATTTCAACTGTGAGAGACGGAATCTAAAACAAAAATCCAGATAATCACATTGTATGATTTTAAAGTAATTAATTTGCATTTCATTGCATGACATAAGTATTTGATACATCAGAAAAGCAGAACTTAATATTTGGTACAGAAACCTTTGTTTGCAATTACAGAGATCATACGTTTCCTGTAGGTCTTGACCAGGTTTGCACACACTGCAGCAGGGATTTTGGCCCACTCCTCCATACAGACCTTCTCCAGATCCTTCAGGTTTTCGGGGCTGTCGCTGGGCAATACGGACTTTCAGCTCCCTCCAAAGATTTTCTATTGGGTTCAGGTCTGGAGACTGGCTAGGCCACTCCAGGACCTTGAGATGCTTCTAAAGGAGCCACTCCTTAGTTGCCCTGGCTGTGTGTTTCGGGTCGTTCTCATGCTGGGAGACCGAGCCACGACCCATCTTCAATGCTCTTACTGAGGTAAGGAGGTTGTTGGCCAAGATCTCGCGATACATGGCCCCATACATCCTCCCCTCAATACGGTGCAGTCGTCCTGTACCCTTTGCAGAAAAGCATCCCCAAAGAATGATGTTTCCACCTCCATGCTTCATGGTTGGGATGGTGTTATTGGGGTTGTACTCATCCTTCTTCTTCCTCCAAACACGGCGAGTGGAGTTTAGACCAAAAAGCTATATTTTTGTCTCATCAGACCACATGACCTTCTCCCATTCCTCCTCTGGATCATCCAGATGGTCATTGGCAAACTTCAGACGGGCCTGGACATGCGCTGGCTTGAGCAGGGGGACCTTGCGTGCGCTGCAGGATTTTAATCCATGACGGCATAGTGTGTTACTAATGGTTTTCTTTGAGACTGTGGTCCCAGCTCTCTTCAGGTCATTGACCAGGTCCTGCCGTGTAGTTCTGGGCTGATCCCTCACCTTCCTCATGATCATTGATGCCCCACGAGGTGAGATCTTGCATGGAGCCCCAGACCGAGGGTGATTGACCGTCATCTTGAACTTCTTCCATTTTCTAATAATTGCGCCAACAGTTGTTGGCTTCTCACCAAGCTGCTTGCCTATTGTCCTGTAGCCCATCCCAGCCTTGTGCAGGTCTACAATTTTATCCCTGATGTCCTTACACAGCTCTCTGGTCTTGGCCATTGTGGAGAGGTTGGAGTCTGTTTGATTGAGTGTGTGGACAGGTGTCTTTTATACGGGTAACGAGTTCAAACCGGTGCAATTAATACAGGTAATGAGTGGAGAACAGGAGGGCTTCTTAAAGAAAAACTAACAGGTCTGTGAGAGCCAGAATTCTTACTGGTTGGTAGGTGATCAAATACTTATGTCATGCAATAAAATGTAAATGAATTACTTAAAAATCATACAATGTGATTTTCTGGATCTTTGTTTTAGATTCCGTCTCTCACAGTTGAAGTGTACCTATGATAAAAATTAAAGACCTCTACATGCTTTGTAAGTAGGAAAACCTGCAAAATCGGCAGTGTATCAAATACTTGTTCTCCCCACTGTATATATATATATATTGCATATAATATATTGACAAATTTAGGATAGCAATGTATATAGGGAGATAGACGATACAGCAGAGAAAGTGAGTGGTGGAACAGGGGATCAAACCACTGCCTCCAGGGGAATACAGTGCCTATGTCCCCTTGCATTTCTTGACATTTATAGTCTTACAAATTGGGATTAAAATGGATTTAAATGTTATTTCTGTCAACGATCTACACAAAATACTCTGGAACGTATGCAAAACCATATGGAGGATGTTTTTTGTTGAACTGGTAGCCATTTTGAGTTGGTTTTGGGTTTATTTTTCAACTGCTGTTATTTCTTTCTCATTACATTTGTTTACGGAGAAATATTCTGCAAACTGTTTTGGAAGGGATCATCACGCAAGTGTTAATCAATTGTACATCAAACTGGCAAATTATATGAATTATTGTTGATGATGAACCAATGTTATCCATTCCAAATTAATGACATAATTGCGTTCTGGGTTTGTTTTGTAAATTAACTTTTTTATGATTATATATTTGATTATCTGATGGAACATCTTTTAAGAATTTATTGAAAAATAAAACACTGTATCTGGACTAGATAAGTATTCACCCCCCCTGAGTCAATACATGTTATAAACAAACAAATTTGGCAGCGATTACAATTTGAGTTTGTTTGGGTAGCCTAAGTCTATGAGAGTTTTGCACATCTGGATTGTGCAATATTTGCCCATTATTATTAAAAAAATTATTCAAGCTCTGTCAATTTGGTTGTTGATCATTGCTAGACAGCCATTTTCAAGTCTCACAATAGATTTTCAAGCAAATATATGTGAAAACTGTAACTAGGCCACTCAGGAAGGTTCACTGTCTTCTTGGTAAGCAACACCAGTGTAGACTTGGGCCTTATGTTTTATGTTGTCTTGCTGAAAGGTAAATTCGTGTCTGGTGGAAAGCAGACTGAACCTGGTTTTTCCTCTATTATTTTGCCTGTGCTTCGCTCCATTCCATTTCTTTTTATTCTGAAAAACTCATTAGTCCTTGCCGATGACAAGCATACCAATATCATGATGCAGCCACGATCATGCTTGAAAATATGGAGAGTGATACTCAGTGATGTGTTGTGTTGGATTTGCCCCAAACCTAACGCTTTTTATTCCGGACAAAATGTTTATTCCTTTGCCACATTTTTTGCAGTGTTACTTTAGTGCCTTTGTTGCAAACAGGATGAAGGTTTAGGAATATGTATATTCTGTACAGACTTCCTTCTTTTCACTCTGTCAATTAGGTTAGTATAGTGGATTAACTACAATGTTGTTGAGCCATCCTCAGTTTTCTCATATCACAACCATTCAACTCTGTAACTGTTTTAAAATCACCATTGGCCTCATGGTGATATCCCTGAGCGGTTTCCTTCCTCTCCAGCAACTGAGTTAGGAAAGATGCCTATATCTTTGAAGTGGCTGGGTGTATTGATACACCATCCAATTATATAACAGTTTGACAACCCTTTTTGTAAGCTTTTAAATGTTATCAAACTCAACCGTTTATCTTTACCAGTGAGGAAAACATGGATGTCTCATGGTAGTGTGGGGTATGCAAAACGGGTCAACTTTGAGCACCTCTATCGCCATAATGTTTTGGTATTCCGTTCCGAAAAGGCACTTTCTCACCACTTCTACCATGGGCAAATATGTATGGCAAGTTTTGTTCAAATCAAAAGGGGTCAAAAGGTTATTTAAATGAAATGGAACGACCCAGGAAGAACTATACAAAGTTTTAACGGATTAAAACTGATGGACATTTTACCATCAATCTCTTACAAACTTTGCATCAGTTTTTCCAGTAAATGTGTAACTTTTATTTATTGTGTAAATTGTTGAAAATAGTAATTGTGCATAGAGTTGTATGGTTTTGTTCAACTTTGAAATCAATGGTTTTTGTTTGGCATACATTTTAAATAAAACAATTCTGACTGAGCGCAATTCCATATTTTCTTTTCACTTTGAAATTATGGAGTATTTTGTGACAAAAAAAAATCACAATTTAAATCAAATTCAATCCCACTTTGTAACGCAAGAAGAAAGAACATCTTATAAGAGGCACTGTATGTGATCCAGGGGTGGCAGCACTACCACTGGACCAGTCCCCCTCCTTTAGGTTGGGTAGCACATAGCCTAGGCATAGTAGGCACTCAGAAATGTGCATCATTTCTTCAGCAACTTGCAGTATCAATTGAGTCATTGTTTGCTGATGTGCAGTAGCAACACTTACTTCAACTTGTAACGTCTACTAGGGAAAGAATATGTTTTCGAATGTATGCTTTGAGAGTATTTGACTATGTGGCTCACCGCTTCCTCAGCCTGTCGCTTGTAGGCCTTCACTTTAAACTGCAGCTTATCTACCAGGTCCTGAAGTCTGACAACGTTCTTCTTATCCTCCTCAGTCTGTGGGAGAAGATCAATAGTTTTATACACAAAACCTGTCTGTGTTAGTGTCAAGTGTGTGTAGATAAGAACGCATTTATCTTACCTGGTAAGTGAGCTCCTTGACTCTGCGTTCATACTTGCGGACTCCCTTGACCGCGTCTACACCTCTTCTCTGCTCTGCCTCCACCTCAGTCTCCAGCTCACGCACCTTTTGTGAAATAAATTAACGTAGGCATTTGTTTGAGGGGGTGAAATCAGACGTAACAAATCTTTGTAAAACAGAGGTATATTCTTCTACTCAGTCAAGGAGGCACAATTGTTGTCTGTTCCTATGTAATTGTACAATTTTAATTGAAGGGGTCTGTAATGATAACAGCTTTTCATTATCTAGGTGGTTTATTGCTCCTGTGTATTTTTACAGTGCATTTACAGTGTTATGTTACAGCCTTATTCTAAAATTGATTAAATAAATGTTTTTCCTCATCAATCTACACACAATACCCCATAATGACAAAGCAAAAACTGTTTTTTTGAAATCTTTGCAAATGTATAAAAAAACAAAACAGAAATACCTTATTTACATAAGTATTCAGACCCTTTGCTATGAGACTTGAAATTGAGCTCAGGTGCATCGTGTTTCCATTGATTATCCTTGAGATGTTTCTACATCTTGATTGGAGTCCACCTGTGGTAAATTCAATTGATTGGACATGATTTGGAAAGGCACACACCTGTCTATATAAGGTCCCACAGTTGACAGTGCATGTCAGAACAAAAACCAAGCCATGAGGTCAAAGGAATTGTCCGTAGAGCTCTGAGACAGGATTGTGTCGAGGCACAGATCTGGGGAAGGGTACCAAAACATTTCTGCAGCATTGAAGGTCCCCAAGAACACAGTGGCCTACATCATTCTTAAATGGAAGAAGTTAGGAAGTCTTGGTGGTTCCAAAAGCTGGCCGCCCGGCCAAACTGAGCAATCGGGGGAGAAGGGCCTTGGTCAGGCAGGTGACAAAGAACCCAATGGTCACTCTGACAGAGCTCCAGAGTTTCTCTGTGGAGATGGAAGAACCTTCCAGAAGAACAACCATCTCTGCAGCACTCCACCAATCAGGCCTTTATGGTAGAGTGGCCAGATGGAAGCCACTCCTCAGTAAAAGGCACATGACAGCCCGCTTGGAGTTTGCCAAAAGGCACCTAAAGGACTCACAGACCATGAGAAACAAGATTCTCTGGTCTGATGAATGCCAAGCGTCACGTTTGGAGGAAACCTGGCACCATCCCTACGGTGAAGCATGGTGGTAGCAGCATCATGCTGTGGAGATGTTTTTCAGTGGCAGGGACTGGGAGACTAGTCAGGATTGAGGGAAAGATGAACGGAGCAAAGTACAGAGAGATCCTTGATGAAAACCTGCTCCAGAGCGCTCTGGACTTCAGACTGGGGCGATGGTTCACCTTCCAAAAGGACAACAACCCTAAGCACACAGCCCAGACAATGCAGGAGTGGCTTCGGGACAATTCTCTGAATGTTCTTGAGTGGCCCAGCCAGAGCCCAGACTTGAACCCGATCGAACATCTCTGGAGAGACCTGAAAATAGCTGCGCAGAGACGCTCCCCATCCAACCTGACTGAGCTTGAGAGGATCTGCAGAGAAGAATGGGAGAAAATCCCCAAATACAGGTGTGCCAACCTTGTAGCGTCATTCCCAAGAAGACTCAAGGCTGTAATCGCTGCCAAAGGTGCTTCAACAAAGTACTGAGTATAGGGTCTGAATACTTACATAAATGTGATATTTCAGATTTTTTTTTCAATAAATTAGCAAACATTTCTAAAAACCTGTTTTTGCTTTGTCATTAGGTGGGGTATTGTGTGTAGATTGATGAGGAAAACAACAATTTAATCCATTTTAGAATAAGGCTGTAACGTAACAAAATGTGGAAAAAGTCAAGGGGTCTGAATACTTTCCGAATGCACTGTATATAACCAAATACATTTCCAGCAATCAGTCTTTCAATCCGCCCTAACCTCATTGAGAACCAGGCTTCCCTAATCGGAAAGCCTGGTGAAAATGACAGAAATTAGCTAAAAAAGTGTGGAAACCCGTTGTAAATCAGTGACGCCTTGCAACACGCCAAAACAATCAAATGCCTTTGCTTGGGCAGAGAGTGTTCAAGCAAAGGAGTTGTAATTCCTTCATGTGGGGGGAGGGTTCTGGAAATGTAACATCCAATAAAAATGGAGCTTCCAGCAGGACCATTCTAGCCGTTTCGGCTCATACAAAATTATCCAGACCTCCAAAGGAGGTGTAACGACAACGTGATTTCGAAGTATAGCTACGCAAGACTTAATCCACCCTAATCCACCCTGCTGTTAACTCACCCTGGACTCCAGTTTCTGGAGCTGCTTCTTGCCTCCCTTCATGGCCAGATTCTCAGCCTCATCCAGGCGGTGCTGCAGGTCCTTGACTGTGACCTCCAGGTTCTTCTTCATCCTCTCCAGGTGAGAGCTGGTGTCCTGCTCCTTCTTCAGCTCCTCAGCCATCATGGCCGCCTGGAATGGTAGTTTGTTTAATTTATCCACCAATTGGCACCAATCATAACGTCCCTCTGAGATCTTTTGTTGTGGTAAACCAGCCCAGCTACCATTGGCCCTTGTTGACAAATCAAGTGGATGTAATTCAATAGATCATAAGGACTCACGTCAGTGATGGCCTTCTTGGCCTTCTCCTCTGCATTCCTAGCCTCCTGGACGATGTCCTCCACCTCTCCCTGCACCTGCACCAGGTCAGACTCCAGCTTCTTCTTGGTGTTCAGAAGGCTGGTGTTCTGGAGGAGGAAACAAGACAATTTGTTTGAATCTCAAGAGAACTTACAAGCCAGAAACTGTATGCTTGGTTGAGTTTAATTAGAAGTGGCTTTTGACCCCTACCTGCGAGTGCAGCAGTCCAACGCGCTCGCTGGCGTCTACCAGCTCAGTCTCAGCCACTTTGCGGCCTCTCTCTGTCTGCTCCAGAGCAACTCTCAGCTCCTCAATTTCAGCCACCATCAGACCGTTTCTGCGCTCCACCATGGCTACCTGCTCCTTCATATCATCTGAGGCGCGGACAGCGTCATCAAGGTGCAATTGGGCATCCTGGGGTTCACAATGACAGGTTCATTAGGACTTGTGGAAGTAGAGTCGATAGGATGGGTGATAGAAATGTTAATTGGTAAGAATTTCCCCATTATCCCTACCTTTTCTACAGTATATTAGTTAATTCCTCTGTTCTATTATTTGCTACAGTTTCACAAACAAATCGATCCCCATGTTTAGTTTTATGAGCCTGATGTCCCAGTCCCTTTACCTTGAGCTGTCCCTGGACGTTCCTCAGCTGTTTCTGAGCCTCAGCGGCCTGCCTGTTGGAGTGGCTCAGCTGGACCTCCATCTCGTTCAGGTCTCCCTCCATCTTCTTCTTCACCCTCAGGGCGTCATTCCTGCTCCTGATCTCAGAGTCCAGGGTGCTCTGCATGGAGTCAACCACCCTCTGGCTGTTCCGCTTGATCTGCTCAATCTCCTCGTCCTTCTCAGCCAGCTTCCTGTCCACCTCACCTTTGATCTGGTTCAGCTCCAGCTGCACACGCAGAATCTTGGATTCCTCGTGCTCCAGTGTTCCCTGGACAAAGAGAAGCGGTCGGGTGAATTGTGTTCAATACATTTGGATGTGTATAACACAAGGAATTAAATGTGTACGACTACAATAAACACCAATACAGGGAGCATTGGACTGAAGCTGGCATTGACTAGTGTTATACTGCTTTTCCCATCAAACAGCTGTAGTTTGTACCTCAGCCTCCTCCAGAGCGGTCTGGATCTCAGACTTCTCGGTCTCCACGGTCTTCTTGGCCTTCTCCAGCTCATGGATGCTCTTGCCAGTCTCTCCGATCTGCTCAGTCAGGTCAGAGATCTCCTCTGCACACACACACACACCGGTGCAGTTTAGACTTGGGAGATTTTCAGTGGATATCGCCAATGCACTCAAGTTGACATTGAATGATAATTAATTAATTAATTAATTATTTAATCTGTAGTTCATATGGTCTTGCAAATCTAATTGCCCCCGCTTCCTTGGGTTTTTCAAAGGAATACCGATTATTAGTTCAAAAAAGTATATTTTATACTGTTCTAAAGTAGTGTAATAATTTTGATGATTACAGTTCTCTCCATTTTCAAAACCCTAATAGATCTGCCAAATAGATCTGCCGTTAAATGCTCACGTTGCAGGTTCTTGTTCTCTCGCTTCAGAGTCTCCAGATGATCCAGAGCCTCCTCGTAGGAGTTCTTCATCTTGAAGAGTTCAGTGCTCATAGAGCGAGCCTCCTTCTGAGCTCCTTCCAGCTCAGCCTGACCCTCCTCATACTTCTGCTTCCACTCTGCCAGAACCTAAGGAAATGCATGGGATTTTCATTAGAAGTGATTGATGAAGAGTTTTGAATCAGAAATATGGTACCATTATACTACAATTGATCATATAGCAGACAGAAAATGTAAACCTAGGGTGAGGTTTTCACCTTGTCAAAGTTCCTCTGCTTCTTGTCTAGGTTGGCGGCCATTGCATTGGCTCTCTCAACGTCAATCATGAGGTCCTCCACCTCTCCCTGCAGCCTCTGCTTGGTCTTCTCCAGGGAGGCGCACTTGGAGTTTGTCGCCTCAATGGTCTCCTCAGCCTCCTGCAGACGCTGGGCCAGTTTCTTCCTTTTGGACGACAGAAGTTGTAGAAATGTTACAATATATATGGACGTAAAAACATGTTTCAGCCCCCTACAAGCCTCACCATCCACACCCTATATTTGAGTTTTTTCTGTTGCGTGTGACTCACTTGGCCTCCTCCAGCTCCTCTGTGCGCTGGATGGCATCAGTTTCATACTTAGTCCTCCACTGAGCCACCTCGCTGTTCGCCTTGGACATGCCACGTTGCAGCTCTACCTTGGCCTCCTGCTCCTCCTCAAACTGCTCTCTGAGGAGGTCACAGTCATGGCGGGCCGACTGGACACCGTGGGCCAGTGCATTTTTTGCCTGTGAAATAGAAAGACAACGAGAGAGATTAGAGAGATAGTAAAACAAATAACAGCAAAAGTCTCTGAGGGTGGCGTAGTCACCGTCTATATGAAGAAATGGCTCTAAACTCTTTGGTCGGTGGTATCCATTTTGGGTTCCTTACCTTGACCTCCTCCTCAATCTGCCTCTTCAGCTCCTCAACCTGTTGGGTGAAGGCCTGTTTTCCTCTGGTCAGCTGAGACACCAGGGCTTCCTTCTCCTCCAGCTGGCGGCCAAACTCACCTGTAGGGAAAGAGGGACCTCTTGTTAATGGGGTCTCTGACCTCTCAGATTGAAAATGTATTTTTAGGTATCGTAGGGCAATGTTAGGTGGTGAATAGTACAGTAGAAACTATGTGGACTGGACTGTCTGGATATAGCCCCCAATACATGTTGTTGTTGTTTGATGATTGTACCATTTTCTGTCAGGAGTCTGGCCCTCTGTCCACTGATGTCGTTGATCTGGCGAGCATTTTCATCAGTCTTAGTCTTGAGCTCACTCAACTGGTCCTCAAGAGTACGGCACATCTTCTCCAGATTGCCCTGTTAGTGAAACATGTTCCATCATTACTTCATATATGGGACTCCTGTCAACTTCAGTTCACTTGAATGGTAATATAGTTGACCCTACTCAACACTGCTTGAACAAAACATCACTACTCACCTTAGCCTTGGCGACGGCCTCCATGTTGCTGGAGAGGTCATCAATCTCCATCTTGTACTCACTCTTCTCCTTCTCCAGCTTCTGCTTGACGCGCTGCAGGTTGTCGATCTGCTCCCCGAGCTCAGCCACACTGTCGGCCTGCTTCTTGCGCAGAGCGGCGGCTGTGGCCTCATGCTGCAGGGTGGACTCTTCAAGATCACGACGCAGCTTCTGGAACTCAGCCTCACGCTTCTTGTTCATCTCAATCTGAGCAGCAGTGGCGCCTCCGGCCTCCTCCAGCCTCTCGCTGATCTCCTCAAGTTCCCTGGAGAGATCGGCCCTCTGCTTCTCAACCTTAGCCCTGGCAGCACGCTCAGCCTCAATTTCCTCCTCCAGCTCCTCGATACGGGCCTAGAACAGGGGGCAGGAGCAGGGGGGATGAACACTACAATGCAGTTGAAACAAATGAATGTGTTCATAAAAAGCCAGTTCCACTAATATATTACGTAGACAGTGTCCCATGCAGGAACCAAAACCACAACGGTAAGAACCACCATCTTTACAATGGTAAGAAGCACCAGTATAAAGCACCATCTTCCATCCTACTGAGCCATCAGAAGCCACCAGGAAAAAATGTGTGCTACCAGAATAATTGTTTTCAGGAACTGAAAGCTTAGATCCTGTACTGTACCTGGAGTTCCTTGATCTTCTTCTGCAGCTGAGCTCCCAGAGACTGCTCATCCTCAACCTTGCTGAGGAGCTGGGTGGTCTCAAACTCCTTTCTAAGAAACACAAACACGTAGATTGCAGAGAGAGAGTATCATACCATTTCAGTTTGCTGTTAAGAATCACGTGAAAATTAGTCAAGAACAACCATTATTTAGATCAAAATGGCAGCTAATGCCGTCGTCATTTGTTTGTGTTTACTTCTTGATTTTCTCATCAGCTTGCTGCTTGTCATTCTCCAGGTCCATTATGGACTCCTGGGCCAGTTTCAGATCTCCCTCCAGCTTTCTCTTGGATCTCTCAAGGTCCATACGGAGCTTCTTCTCTTGCTCCAGAGAACCTTCAAGCTATATGATAAAAACACACAGATAATGTTCAAATCTAAACAACTGAAGATAATTTCATTTTATATACTATCATGGGCAAAATGTCAAACTCCACTCACGTCGTCCACTTGCTGTTCCAGCTTGGTCTTGGCCTTGGTCAGAGTGTTGACTTTGTCCTCCTCTGACTGCAGGTCGTCCAGTGTCTGCTGGTGGGCCTCTTGGAGGGCTTTCTTCTCCTTGGTCAGCTTGGCAACACTCTCATCCATAGATGCCATCTCCTCTGTCAGGTTTTTAACCTGAAAACGGCCACAACAAAATTAGTCTTTGGTCACTTCATCATAAAGGAGAGATTTAGTTTGATAGATATTGCATTCACTTCATTTAGATTAGAAATGTGTCAACAAGTACTCTACTATATATTCAACACTAGATGGCAGTGTACACCATGCCAGTGTACTGATTGGAGGTCATAAATGAGGGGGAACAGAACATGCAATGAATGTGGGGAGTACTCCGCAACTGAAATTCCATAAATTTGTGTCTAAAATTTTCCTGCACCCACAATACAACTGGAATTCCATTTCTGTTGAGATATGTTTTGATTATTGTTTGGTTAGACTGTCTCTGGTAAAACACAATACCTTGTTTTCAGTGGCATGCTTCTCCTTCTCCACTTTGGCCAGGGTGAGCTCCAGGTCATCAATGTCCTTCTTCAGCTCAGAGCACTCATCCTCCAGCTTCCTCTTCTTGGCAGTCAACTCAGCATTCATCTCCTCCTCATCCTCCAGCCTCTCGGTCGTCTCTTTGAGTTTGGCCTCCAGCTGGATCTTGCTCTTGATGAGCCCCTCACACCTTTCCTCAGCATCATTCAGATTCTCTGATTCCTGGTTTCAGAACAGGAGAAAATAATCAGCCACCTCAAAATATAGACTTCATTTAGTCAGAGCTCATAGCAAATCAATATAAATTCATGAAATATATTTATAACATGGGCTGTAAAAATGTGTGAGTTAGCCACATACTTCACAGTGTGTGTGTGTGTAAATGTTTCCTTATGAGGGTCGTAGGTCACTCACAGATGTGACTTGGAGCGCCAGGTCATTTTTCTCTTGTAGCAGGGACACCATCTTTTCCTCCAACTCCTTCTTCTTGGCCAGAGCCTTAGCCAGATCTGTCTTCATCTTCTCATAGTTCTCCTTCATGTTGGCCAGCTCCTTCTCAGTCTCTGCACTCTTCAGCAGGGGCTTGATCTTGAAGTACAACTTCATCCATGGCCAGGTTTTCACATTCATGAATGAGCGGATGTTGTACTGGATGGAGAAGATGGAATCTCTGGTTGACAGAAAGGATAGGGCGGTATGGTGAGTGACATCCTTAATAAAGCTACATTCTGGGAGTCAAAGAATAACAAAACAGAGCCCTGTCCCACTTTTGGTATACAGCTGAGGAATGAGACTAGAGAAATGTAACCAGGCAATTCATTCCATAGTAGTGGAAGGCATTTCACTTTAAAATGTATACCAAACAAACACCATTGATTTCAAAGTTTAACAAACCATACAACTCTATGAACAAGGACTACTTTTACAAAAACACATTCACATGAAGAACTGTACAGATACAAAGGTAGTTGACAGAATAGAACTACGGGCGATTTTACCGTAAGGGAGATTGGTAATAGAATTACGGTGCAAACTTCGCATCGGCACAGTTTTTCCAGTAAATGTATTTTTTGAAATGTACTATGTAAATGTAACCTCTGTTAAATTCATAGACAGCGCTCTCGATGCAAGGACTGACAGGTTATGCGAAGCTCTTGAGGCATTTTGTATTCTTAAAAAAAGAATGCTTTAATATCACAAATTTAAAGGACAATTGAACAGCTTTCCAAACATACTTTTCTCATTGTGAACAACTCACAGCATATACAGTATGTCATCATAATGCATTAGATACAGGTGGTTGACAGGAAGCTTTGCCAAGATGTCTAGTATTCCTCACCTCCTCTCCATCATCTTGGTGAACTCTCTCCTCATGAGGAATCCACGGCTGAGAGCCTGGACCATGCCGACCAGAGCGGCCAGCTTCTCATCTCTCATCTCCTCCAGGACACCCAGCAGACCGGCTTTGAAGAACACCTGACACAGGTAAACATGGTCAATGGAACCACGGTCAGATGGTGACAGAGAGAAATGGTTGAATCAAAAGAGGGGAACAACACCACTAGAGGGGAACAACACCACTAGAGGGGAACAACACCACTAGAGGGGAACAACACCACTAGAGGGGAACAACACCACGAGAGGGGAACAACACCACTAGAGGGGAACAACACCACTAGAGGGGAACAACACCACTAGAGGGGAACAACACCACTAGAGGGGAACAACACCACTAGATTGATTTGAACAAGTTTAGTTTATCTTCTATATTTGTAATGTTTGACAACAAATAAAGAAAAAGCGGTCTAATGTTTTTCCACCTTTTCCATTAGTTAAATCGGGGTTTATATGATTGAAGTTGTGTTTTGTTGTCAGCCATGGCTGGGTGTATTTGACTGACCTTGGTGTGTCCGAACTTGTAATCATCGTGATTTATATCAATGGACCCAAGTAGCTTCTCAGAAGCCTTCTTGTTATCCATGAACTGGCCCTCGGGGATGACACTGGCGTTCAGTACTTTATACCTGAATGAGGAGACATTTTTTAACATAATGTCAAGTTGTAATAGGTTGGTTATATTAAGTGAACGGTAAGCCTATTCTGATGCTGGGAAAACCCTTGGAGCAGGTGTGTGTGTGTGTGTGTGTGTGTGTGTGTGTTTGTGCGTTAGTGTTTCAATGCATCTACCTCTGTTTGAAGTCAGCATAGATGATTCTGCTGGGGAAGCCCTTTCTGCAGATCCTGATACCCTCCAGAACACCATTACACCTGAGCTGGTGGATAACCAGGAAGTTCTCCATCAGACCTGGTAAAACAAACCAAGTCTCTTTTAATACTCATAAACAGGTTAAAGATTTGGGTCGTTAAGGTTACTGACATTGTACTGATAAGATAATATTTAGATAGTAAGTATAGACCGGAAGTAGAGGCCTGGGCGTTGTTGTTCACTAATTTACTCCAAGTAGGGAAAGGATGGTGGGGTTGAAAAGTAATAAAGGGGAATATATATATAAAAATAAAAAATAAACATGGGGGATTGGAAGTGATGCAGACAATTACATTGATAGAAGATACAATCTATCTGCAATATTAAGCTGATCCATTCCCCCCCCCCAAAAAATAAAAAAAATAAAAAGATAATATTTAACTCAATATTTACCTGGAGTCTTTGACTCGTTGGGGATCAGGCAGCGCACAAAGTGAGGATGAGTGCTCCTCAAGTTGGTCATCAGCTTGCCCAAGTTCTCCTGTTAGAGGGTTGCAAACCATTCTCTCAGAAATCATTCATTATCAAATCAAATCAAATTTGTCACATGCGCCGAATACAACAGTTGTAGACCTTACAGTGAAATGCTTACTTACAAGCCCCTTAACCAACAATGCAGTTTTAAGAAAATAGAGTTAAGAAAACATTTACCAAATAAACAAAAGTAAAAAAAAATAAAAAAATAAAAGTAACACAATAAAATAACAATAACGAGGTACCGAGGCTATATACAGGGAGTACCGGTACCGAGTCAATGTGCGGGGGTACAGGTTAGTCCAGGTAATTTGTACATGTAGGTAGAGTTAAAGTGACTACGCATAGATAATAAACAGAGAGTAGCAGCAGCGTAAAAGAGGGGGGGGGGGGGGGGGGGTTTATGCAGATAGTGCGGGTGGCCATTTTATTAATTGTTCAGGAGTCTTATGGCTTGGGGGTAGAAGCTGTTAAGGAGCCTTTTGGATCTAGACTTGGCGCTCCGGTACCGCTTGCCGTGCGGTAGCAGAGAGAACATTCTATTACTAGGGTGGCTGGGGTCTTTGACAATTTTTAAGGGCCTTCCTCTGACACCGCCTGGTATAGAGGTCCTGGGTGGCAGGAAGCTTGGCCCCAGTGATGTACTGGGCATTTCACTGTCTCCCGAGTGGTGCAGTGGTCTAAGGCACTGCATCGCAGTGCTAGCTGTGCCACTAGAGATCCTGGTTCGAATCCAGGCTCTGTCGTAAATGGCCGCGACCGGGAGACCCATGGGGCGGCGCACAATTTGTCCAGGGTAGGGGAGGGAATGGCCGGCAGGGATGTAGCTCAGTTGGTAGAGCATGGCGTTTGCAACGCCAGGGTTGTGGGTTCGATTCCCACGGGGGGCCAGTATTAAAAATACATCTATAAACAAAAATAAGAATGTATGCACTCACTAACTGTAAGTCGCTCTGGATAAGAGCGTCTGCTAAATGACGTAAATGTGCGCACCTTTTGAAGGACTGAATATACACATTTTAAAAGCTCACCCTGAACTGGGAAGACACAGTCTGCATGGAACCACCCTTCTTCTTGCCTCCTTTCTTGGTTGTATCTGTTAAAATATGGGGGAAAGTAAAAGATAACTATGAACGCGATAAACACACTCATCTTAATGCAAATGCTGCCAATGAGTATTTGTCACAAGCTTCGTAAACAACAGGTGTAGACTAACAGTGAAATGCTCATTCACAGGCCCTTCTCAACAATGCAGAGTGAAAAATATAGAAAATTATAACACGAGGAATAAATCCACAATGACTAACAATAACTTGGCTATATACACGTGGTACCGAGTCGATGTGCAGGGGTACAAGGTCATTGAGGTAGATATGTACATATAGGTAGGGTTAAAGTGACTAGGCAACAGGATAGATAATAGACAGAAGCAGCAGTATACTGTAGGTAGGGGTAAAGGGACTAGACAACAGGATAGATAATAGACAGTAGCAGCAGTATACTGTAGGTAGGGGTAAAGTGACTAGACAACAGGATAGATAATAGACAGTAGCAGCAGTATACTGTAGATAGGGGTAAAGTGACTAGACAACAGGATAGATAATAGACAGTAGCAGCAGTATACTGTAGGTAGGGGTAAAGTGACTAGGCAACAGGATAGACAGCAGCGTATGTGATGAGTCATAAGAGGTTCCATGCAGATAGTCTGGGTAGCTTTGGTTAACTATTTAGTAGTCGTATGGCTTGGGGGTAGAAGCTGTTCAGGGTTCTGTAAAGTTGAACCGTTTTTATCTCAATATCAGATCATTTCTGGGTAACAATTAAGTACCTTACTGTGATTGTTTTCAGTTAAAATGGTCAAAAAGGAACAAAAATGGCTCCTTAGCAAAGAGCAATTTCTGAAGCAAGAATTTAGCTAGGACTATCTGGGAGTGGTCTGAATGGGGAGAGGAAAACTGAAAACTAGCTGCTATTGGCAGAGAGGTTTGAAACTCTTTTTCTTATTGGTCTATTAACTAGTTTACCGCCTGGTGATGTAGTCAGAGTCAATATAAACATGATAATATTGAATTCCCCCTCGACCACACCAACAAATTGGGGAAAACAAACATTCTTTCCCATCCCAGTGTAAGATATTTGTTGGTTATACAGAACTAACAAAACATGCTGAAAAGCTCCTGTGTTGTTGTACATGTAACCAGGTCAAACATCCCAACCTATGGTTCACAACGCTCCTACATAGGGAAATAGAGCCTGCGACTTCAGGCTATTCGGCGTGGAAGAGTGGGAACCTGATGTCCAAGTAGGCTACACGAAGCTATGTGTGTGGAAAACATTTATTCACCGGTAAGACATTTAACTTGTTATAGGGTAGTCTGTTTTGTAACGCCACTCACTACTTGTAGCTGTGTAGTCCGTTTGTTTGTGTTGTTGGTCCTGGCTAGCTTAATGTTCCGGTTGGTAGCTAGCTAGCGCTCGCTCACTCACGTGGCTTCTAGCACCGTCATGAAACGGAGGGACAATATTAAGTTATTTTAAGTAGTGAGAACACAGGCAGTGTTGAAAAGTAATCTTTAAACTTGTTGAACTTTGCATAAATGTAGTTTTGTAATTGACTAAAACAAGAAGACAAAAAGAAAATTGCCTTTGAAAAAGGCCAAGTATTTGCTTTGAGCCAATGGGGTAACCTAGGTAACGACAGGTTGTTTTCCCCACAGGCGGGTGGGGCGGTGACGTTCTATCTAATACCGACTGGGTCTACAGGTAGGGGTAAAGTGACTAGGCAGCAGGATAGATAATAAACATAACTAACTTCCTTCATACTGGACACAGAGACATAAAAATGGTATCCACGAGTTCATCTGACTCTGGGGAAGTACATAAATGGTATCATTGCGAAAATCCTGAAGTAATCCTTTAAAGAAAATGTGGGTCTGACTTGTAACTACTGCTTGGTTAAATATTTTGACGTGATGCTGGTCTTACCCTCAGGTGGGGCAGCAGGGTACAGGGCGGCCAACAGTTTGACTGAGGCCTTCCCGTACATCAGAATAACTGAATCGTTCAGGGGGTCCTTGTTCTTCTCTAGCCAGCCAGTGATGTTGTAGTCCACAGTGCCGGCATAGTGTACGAGAGAGAAGTGGGCCTCTGCTTTGCCTTTGGCAGGCTTTGGCTTCTCAAACGCCTTGGTTTTGCCAAGATGCTGGTCGTTGAGCTTGTTCTTGAAGGTAGTGTCTGAAGCCTTGGGGAACATGCACTCCTCTTCAAGGATGGAGAAGATGCCCAATGGCTTTATGAAAAGAGATATCAAATGAGTTACATTTACATTTAGGACCACATTTATTCCTTTATCAAACATGGTAATATAGGATGCTATTCCTTCAGGGTCACATAATAGGATACATTTTGAGTTCTTAACCGTCAGATACGTTGTACCACTGTGATAATATATCACATATCGCTCCCTATGAGCTTTGCTGTTGTGATCCATTATAATCCTCACAGACAGTTTACCTTCTCAATAAGCTCAATGCAGGCAGCCAAGTCCATGCCGAAGTCAATGAAGGCCCAGACGATTCCCTCCTTCTTGTACTCCTCTTGCTCGAGGACGAACATGGTGTGGTTGAAAAACTGTTGCAGTTTCTCATTGGTGAAGTTGATGCACAGCTGCTCCATGCTGTTGTACTGTAGAAGGAATTTCAAAAAGGCTAATTTCATCGTACACGGCTGTAATCCCTCTCAATCACAACTAATTGTCTTGTTCTGGTCTCATACTCACATCAAAGATCTCAAAACCGGCAATGTCGAGCACACCAATATAGAACTGCCTTGGATTCTTGGTGTCCAACATCTCGTTGATACGGATGACCATCCACAAGAACATCCTCTCATAGATGGACTTGGCCAGAGCCATGACTGCGTTATAAACCTGCAATGATAATACCTCAAATTAATACATGAGTTATTGACCAAATATAGTGATAAGGTGATAAGCGCTTGGGAAAAACAACATTAGGCCTACTATTGAAAAAAAAGGCAACGTTCTCCTCCCCAAAAGAATTCCGGTGCTCAGAAAATGGTAGATGCTGTGTTTCACCTTACCTGAGGCACAGTCTGTCCCTTGGTCACGTACTCGTTGCCAACCTTCACTCTGGGGTAGCACAGACATTTCAGCAACTCAGCTGAGTTCAGGCCCAGCAGGTAGCCGATTTTATCAGCCACTGGAGAGAGAGCCAACATCAACAGACTCAGGCACACAAGATCGCTTGTTTCTGATGTCACACTGACAAAATAGTTTGTATCTCCTGCCTGACTTTCATGTGGTACTGTCTGTCTAACGTATCCTATCTCTATGTTTAGGAATAGGACTAATGCTTTACATGTTGTATATCTATGAGTGGGACTCACCCTCTGTGCCGTCTGGTTCGGCCTGCTCCTCACGCTGCTTCTGCTTGAATTTCAAGTTTCCATGGTGCATTACAGCTCCTGTCAGCTTGTAGATAGACATCTTCTCATCATTAGTGAAGCCCAGGATTGTAATGGCATCCTGGCATTAGAGAGGAAGTACAACAGTGATGAACTGAACGGTAGTTTGCTCAGTTACAATACACTACAGTTCTGTGCTCACTCCAGAACAAATGGGATGGATAGATTTGACTGGCTACTCTGTTCCACATGATTACTTTTGGCCAGCACACTAGTATGTCGCACCACAAAATGAGTTTTACACAGTTCCACAAGGCACTTAGTGGCACTCTCTTGTGGATGTCTTACATGTACCTAAAGGTGAAGTGTGGAGGCATGACGACTGCCTTGAGACACATGCCTAACTAACACAAAGGTGCCCAGCTGCCACAAGTTAGAATTGCACAGTGCATTCAGTGTGTATGGTGGTCCTACCCATTCCATATCTAGAGTTTGGTTAACCCTTTGTATGACTCACGTCTGTGGCATCCAGCTCTTCCTTGTCGTTGATGCTGGCCACAGTGATCTGACCCTGGCTGATCATGGGGTAGTCGTAGGGGTTGGTGGTGATGAGCGTCATTTCTGTGGACAACGGAGAACGGCTTGTCATTTAAGTCTTGTAGAATTCCACTGTCCTACCTTTACGGTATCTCTCCCTCCTTTACTCAGTAGATGGACTCAAGGATACATGTAGTATATAATAAATAGCATCAACAGACTGGACTGAGCCTCCTGGAGTAGTGCATCACAGTGCATTACTTGATAGATCTTTCCCATAAAGGATATTTAAAGACCGGACCCATGTCTAGGTGCCTTGTTACCTTGGATGTACTCATTGTAATAGTATTAATAGTGTGGACTATGAACTTTCTAAGAGACGTTTCTAAATTGTTCATCTTCATATTCATCATGTCAGAATCTTCCTTCCTCAACATGATATAAAAAATAAAATAAAGCTCCAACGTCAACATAAAAGAAAATGGCTGTTTGTTATGTTTTAAAAAAGAGCGGAAGAAAAGGTTTTCCAATGACATCATCGATGTGCATCATGTGATTTGAACCTACTAATTGTCTACTAATTGGTTGTTGATGTCATTGGAAACATTTTCTCTATATTTTTTACTACAAAACACAGAAACGCGCCATTTTCGCATAATGTTGATTTCCCAGATAGAGCTGGGAATCATTTCACCTCAACCTCTCCTTTGCCTTACCAACTAGCTCAGGTTTGTGGCCTGTCATCATCTGGTAGAAGATGTGGTAGCCTCTCTCATCGGGCAGCTGGAAGGACACTCTGGACTTCTCCAGCAGGTCTGAGAGAGAGAGATAGAGATCGAGTGAGACAGAGAGTGTGAGAGAGCGAGAGCGAGAGAGAGCAGGAAAAGGGGAGAGAGAGTGAGAACATTACATTTTGATTATATGATCTCCGAAAAATATTCAGTGAATTAAGGAAAGCATTGAGAAACTATCAAAACCAACTTACAGGTCTCAATGTCAGCTTTAGCCAGTTTGCCTGCTTGGAAGTGAATCCTGATGAATTTACCCTATAGTAGAGCATGGGGGTTAGAAATATGTATACAAAATAATTATATTTACTTTGATAGACCCCTTGAAATGTTAGTTTGTTGGACATCTATTGATATAACTATAAGGAACTACTGAAATGTTTTTCCCCCAATATAAGGTCACTTCCACAGTATGCCCTTCATACTTACAAAGCGAGACGAGTTGTCGTTCCTCACTGTCTTGGCATTACCATAAGACTCCAGCAGAGGGTTAGCTGCAATGATCTGATCCTCAAGAGACCCCTGATTGAGACAAACACAAGTTGCTTAGAAACTGGTAAACACTTTTCTGGAAAATAAAAGTTTACACAGCCCACCGAACTGAAATGTGTTAAAAATGCACAACCTACCTGCATTTTGCTTGGGTCTACTTCCTTCTTGGCACCAGACACTGCAATGGTGGCGAAGTACTGGATGACACGCTTGGTGTTGACAGTCTTTCCTGCACCGGATTCTCCACTGGATAATATGACAGAGATCGAGGGGTTTTACTCACAGATTGTGTCAGATTTGGCTTTCACTACGAAATAGCATTGAAAAATACACTGTTGGCCTGTTTTCTAACATAAGTAAATAATTAACAAATATTCCCACTCATCGACTCATTATTATGCATAGCCTTATCCATTCATAATGTCATGTATTTTATAACACCCAGTGACCCAACATATTACAATAGAAACACCTTCTCAATTGACATGATAGTAAATAACTTACGTAATCAGGACGGACTGGTTCTCCTTATCTGGAACCAAAAAACATCATGTTTATTATACTCAAGCAACATCATGGGTACATTATTGCATTCATAGCATCATCATGAATTTCATTTTGGAACATTTTCCATTGGAGGCTAATGAAATCAGAAATTCCCAGCAAACTGTTCTAACCTAGATGAGAAAACAGTAGATTCCCTCCATTCATTCATCCATCCATCCATCCATCCATCCATCCATCCATCCATCCATCCATCCATCCATCCATCCATCAATGCATCCATCCATCCATCCATGCATCCATCCATCAATGCATCCATCCATCCATCCATCCATCCACCCATCCATCCATCCATCCATCCATCCATCCATCCATCCATCCATCCATCCATCAATGCATCCATCCATCCATCCATCCATGCATCCATCCATCAATGCATCCATCCATCCATCCATCCATCCATCCACCCATCCATCCATCCATCCATCCATCCATCCATCCATCCATCCATCCATCCATCCATCCGTCCATCCATCCATCCATCCATCCATCCATCCATGAGAGCTCGTACCAATCATCATGAACTGAAAGGCGTTGTCAGAGACGGAGAAGATATGGGGTGGAGCCTCCATCCTCTTCTTCCCTCTGTAGGCGTTGACAACCTCTTCGTCGTACACGGGGAGCCACTTGTAGGGGTTCACCGTGGCACAGAAGAGCCCAGAGTAGGTCTGGATGAAAGGGATTCAATTAAATTAGGGGATTAGTAAATCAGACTTTTACCTGGATTTATGTGAGGATGTGGGTGTACTTTGGTATACTGGGCTGCTGTGTTCTGCCCTTCATTTACAGTGAGTTCCAAACGTATTGGGACAGTGACAAATGTTTTGTTGTTTTGACTCTGTACTCCAGCACTTTGGATTTGAAATGATACAATGACAATGAGGTTAAAGTGCAGACTGTCAATTTATCATACCCACAAGACATGCTAACCTCTCACCATTACAATAACAGGCAAGGTTAGCGTTTTATGTGGGGGGTATGATATTTGTGCGTCTGTAACTTTCTCACTCATCATTATTCACGATTTATTCAAGATTATCCGTCATCATGGTAGCATCCACATTAAGTGTTTAGAAACATATTCTATTCTTATTTACAATAAAAGTGACTCCAAAATGACACAATACATTATTTACCATCGATTTCTATTGGGCACAAAGTAATCTGAAACATAACCAAAACAAACAGAAAATGCATCCAACAACTTTGTAGAGTCACAAGCTTGATGTAGTCATTGCGTGCGATGAATATGGGACCAAAATACTACACCTTTTACTGCTTTAATAAGGGAATTTGTCCCGATACTTTTGGTCCCCTAAATTTTAGGGGGACTATGTACAAAAAGTGCTGTAATTTCTAAACGGTTCACCCGATATGGATGAAAATACCCTCAAATTAAAGCTGACAGTCTGCACTTTAACCTCATAGTCATTGTATAATTTCACTGTCCCAATACCTTTGGAGCTCACTGTATGTATGTGTTTCTTATGTGAGTGTATGTGAGTGTATGTTTATGCAGGTTTCTTACATAGATCATCCATGCTGCATAACGCTCTTTGAGGTTATACAACACAGAGGCTTCATTCAGGTAGGTCATCATGGCCATGTCCTCAATCTTGTCGTACTTAGGGGGGTTCATCTGGTAGATGTCTGCTTCTTTGAACTCTTTTCCTTCCTGAAACAGTCAGAAATCTACATTACACACAGCTCAAACTGGACGTGACTGAATGCTTTTTGCTCATTAATTAGTTCAATCTTTTAAAACATGCATACCGCCATTTAATCCAACTACCCTGTTATCACCCATTGACACATACATGGTTATTCTTGACTAATCAATATCAATAATGCCATACATTTTTAAAAAGCAGTAAGAAAAATGGTGTGCTTGAAGGTTTTATTCTGCTTACAAAAAAACTAAAAAATGCTAATCTATCTTTTGTTACTGATTTCACATTGTTTGGTTTTTTAATAGTTTTTATGATTTTTTTTCAAGGAATAGAGTAATTACACAAACATTAACTTGAATACTTTGCAGATCAGGCTTACCTGCTTAGTCCCGTCAGGATTTGTGACTGTCACAGTACACTTTCCCTCTTTCCTTCCAGTGATCAAACCCTTTAGGTACAACTCCTTGACATCTGTCACATAGCAGGCGTTCTTTGAATCAAAGGGTGCGGCTTGTGCCTCAATCCTCTCCCTCTCAGGTTTACGGAGGTATATGGCAGCCTTGCCGTAGATTTTCATCTCCGCGTCCGTACTCATGGTGACGGATCACTAGGAAAGAGATGAAACAAGAAACATGATTGACTCTGTGGTGCTTCGTCCACAGTCAACAGGAGTTAGATGAGCGGTATCCCTCACAGAATATTTTCGTAATTTTTACATGAAGACTCAAACCATGTCTCACCTTCTTTTTCCCCTCCTACAGATGAATTTGTACTTCTTGGAGGACCCTGGGAAACATTAGGGTGTTGTGAATATGCACAAGTCTTATCATTTAGCCTCCGAAGGGCTAGAAAACATTTTGAATGGCATCAATTAAACCCAAATCATTACAGCCATGTCCAATTCAACTACAGGTGCAACTGGTAACTTTCATTTTCATTGTGGCAACTCACTTTACTAGACATTCTGTCGAGAATTCAAAAATTAATACCCCTGAAAACCCAGTTACATTCTAGACCATCCCCTCAATTTACAAACAAGTGCAGGAGCACCACTTTTGACTGTACATTTTAAGTAAAAAAAACAACAACATTTTTATCAATGCCACTTCATTGCATATTGTCAAATCTTACAAGAGACAGGCAAAAAAATTTTTTGATGCAAAACTCAATTCAGACAGTGCAGTTAGCTACTGCCTCAGATGCTGAGCGCAAAGATGAGACAAATGTACAGATTTTAGGAGGTAGCGAGTCTTACCACAGAGGAAGAAGGTATCTGGCTTATGGATGCCGGGGCCTCAGCCTCCTTATATCTGGTTGAAAGTGCCAACCAAGCAAAAGTTAATTATGGACCACTCTGGTGAAGGAAATGGATTGGATGAGAGACTTCTGTATTTCTGTGTCTCACTAGCCCCACCCACTTCCAGGAGCACCACACTCATTATTTAACCATTGATATGTGCTAGGCTATTTTGAGACTTTAATTAAGGAGCGTCAGGTATCCTACTGCAGGAATGTCCACAAATGGCATGTCCATCAGTTTGTGCGCAATTACACTGGTCACTCAAAACATTTTATAAACTATGAATAGCCTTCACTTTAGGTTATGCAAAAATACTTAACTAATGATTAGTAAATGGTTCACAAGGACCTATATTAAACGTCTTACAAATCATTATGACATACTTTAAAAGTGGTTTATAAATGTTTGAATAACTAGCTTACTAACATGTACAAATGTGGGAACAATTATTAATAAATCCATTATAAATGCTTTATTACAAGGGGTTATTATAAAGTGCTGCCCAATAATCTTATCCACTCATATTGCTGACCGCAATATAGATGCCTCCAAATGTTATTACGCTCTGAAGTACACCGCTTAGCAGCTGAGCTGAGCTTCAATAAAACGGCTATAAAATGAATAGGGGATAGTTACAATGAAGTTTTATTCCTTTACGTTGACATCACATCTCAGTTCAGCCTTTACCAAAGCCTATATGCATAAGCTTGTGGCAGTAATGCTAGTCTCAGGTAAGGTTAATTAACACGTTACAATAGCATCAATTGCTCAGGTCCACACCTGGGTTCAAATAGAGTTTGCTTGAGCCTGCCTTGAGTGCCAGATGGGTGGGGTTTGCACTTTTGGGACTTTTCATTGGTTTCATTTCGCCTGGAAAGTTAAATGAAGCTAATCTAGCGAAACATTTGTTTAAAATATACTATTTAAACCTAGGTCGGCCTTGAGCAAGGGATTTAACCCCTAACCTGCTACAAGAGTAAAGCTCTGTGGCTGGAGCCTGTGTAGACATTGTAATTTACGTAAATATAATACAGAGCTTTAGTTTAGAACGTGGCCTACCGCTTGCATGTAAATATCAGCGATCTCCCGCTATCTGCAAGCGTGGCCAATGGCATGACATCTTATTGGCATGTAAATTCAACCAACCGATCATAAACATTAGATTACTGAATTGGCAAGTAGAAGCATAAACAACCCTGTTACATTGACATTTTAGCAGACGCTCTTATCCAGAGCAGGAACAATTAGGGTTAAGTGCCTTGCTCAAGGGCACATCGACAGATTTTTCACCTAGTCGGCTTGGGGATTAGAACCAGCGACCTTTCGGTTACTGGCACAACGCTCTTAACCACTAAGCTACCTGCCGCCCTGTTGCAATGCCCCCAGCCTGTTGAATGAATAGTCTGTCTGTCAGGGGGTTGGGTATTGTGACAGTAAAAAATACACGTTTTCATTGTTCAATGGGTAAATAAAGACTTGTATTTTGAACATTCCTCATGAATGATGTTGAAAGCGTATTTTGAATGCTGCTATAAATGGTACTACGTCACTTCTTTAAAGTGTTTCACAAAATGGTTTCACCAAAGTTTTATCAATGCTTTATGTATATCCCCGTAATACCAAAAGAACCAAAAGTCCTGTGGCCAAAACAATTCATTTATTTTTCCAAATTGAAGAACTGAGATTTATCCTTAAGATTTGATATAGTAGTGCGATTTGTAGTTGTTAAGAGACATGTTCATGGTATCAAATCATTATTTTTTTTCAAGTCAATCATTTCACAGCTTTTAATATCCATTGCAAATTTTCTGTCAAACTTCTGCAATCAATTGTTGTTTAAAAGTTCGTTATTTCCAATTGGTTCATCTAAATTAATGTGGCATTCTGTTTATGTAAGGTGAAGCGTCTCATCCCATCCCCTACTAGCAAAATTATGTTGTCACAACATTCTCCCAACCTATGCTGACCTACGTGGTCCTCTGTAGCTCAATTGGTAGAGCATGGCGCTTGTAACGCCAGGGTAGTGGGTTCGATCCCCGGGACCACCCATACGTAAAAATTTATGCACACATGACTGTAAGTCGCTTTGGATAAAAGCATCTGCTAAATGGCATATTATTATTATTATATTATATGTGACAATGTCATGTGTTAATAAAGTCACCGTTGGAAACTCCATAGGGGGCGCTGCAGGAGACACATGTTGAGCAGGAGGGCAAGGGAAACGATCTTTTAATTTATTGGGCTATGCTGTTCTCATCTCTGCAGTCCAGGCTTATTGTTTAAGCCTTTGAAGTGATAGAGTATCAGCCAACTATTGCACACAGCTAAGTCTGGCCGAGATGCCACTGTTAAAAGACACAACATATTTTCTGGATGCGTTTGTGGATAGAGAGAGTCTTCGCACCACGCAGATTATTACAATGGAGTTCATGACATTAAAGATATTTTAATGGGAAGAGAGGTATCTTACTTGATATTTGACATTTTATCTGAGGGACATGTTTCTCCAAGATCCACAGTTGGGTAGAACCTTCTCTTAGAATCAGTTTACCAAATCTTCAACTTAACCATTACGGGGGGAAATTACAAAACAGATCTTAGATCAATGTAAAAGTAATTATGTGCGTACCTGTCACTCCAAGCCAGATGGCATACCCATACACTAGGCCACAAAGGCCAAAACTGACTTCACAGCCAAGGGAGGATTCTCATCATGGAGTGAGCAGTGTAACGGAGTGGAAAAACGGTACCTGGACAGGAAGGGGTAAAGGTGTGCTGACGACGAATGCAGTGGACCAAGGCCGGGACTGGAACGGGAAAGGTAAAGGGGGATACCTCGTCAGTTGTACAACTGAATGCATTCAACTGAAATTCGTCTTCCGCATTTAACCCAACCCCTCTGAATCAGAGAGGTGCGGGCGGCTGCCTTAATCCACATCCACGTCGTCGGCTCCCGGGGAAACAGTGGGTTAACTGCCTTGCTCAGGGGCACAGATTTTTACCTTGTCAGCTCGGGGATTCGATCCACCTGACTGGAGAGCTGCTGGCAGTGTGCACAGGCTTTCTTCCCATCCCAGCACTAACACACCTGATTTAATCTAAAGGAAAACTATGAGCTGTGATCAACCCACTATCACAGATTATTGTGAAAAAGACGCAAATTACTTATTGGAAATTCGTCAAAGGCGTACAGAAAAGTCATTTATTTTGTGTACAGTACACTAGTTGTATGCAGTAGGTTACTTAAGACAGAAACGATAGGAGGGCGGTGGTCGGGAAGGATAACACAAAGGTTAACTACTTTGCTTGCATGTTATCTTAACCTAACCTAACCTTAACCCCTAACCTAGCTAACGTTATTGGAATTCGTAAGAACAATTGTGTAATGTACACGACTGTGTTATGAAGAAAATTGTGTAATGCACACGAAAAAAAGGAATTTCAAATAAAGTAGGCTAATTTGTCTATTCCACAATAAGCTGTGATAGGGTGTCGCTGTGATTGTGCTGGGTTGGGACATAAGTCTGCACACCTTGCAGCTGTCAGAACCATTGCCATACCCTGATGGTATTGTTAACCGTCAGCTGTCAATAAGTATGCTAAACTGTCATTACTGTCATTCTTAAAAGTCAGATACTTTGACAGTGGAGCCTTTATGGATTTGCAAAGTAAAGTCTTGATCCAGTACACTTTTAAGCATGCTTTAAACTACAACTACGCTCACAAAGTGGTTTTATTACAACAGGCATGAGCCTTTGGCTCACAACAGCATTTTCTTTGTAACATGATTTAATCCATTACAATGTCCCCACGGTAAAGGTCTATATTGGGATGTGTAATGTCACATGCGGTGTGGCAGGGATCCACATAACACCCCTGGTCCCCTTTGAAAGAATTGGAGAGGCCAGAGCAAGGCTCAGCTCATTCGGAGCTTGTTTTCCAGGCCATACCTCTGTGGTAAATCTATTACAGTACCCAATGTCAGCAATGTGAGGACAGGGTCGACTAATATGGTCAAGATATTGTGCTCTCCTGCACCGGATCCCTCTGCTCTATAGTATAGGTTGTCCGGGGCTTTACTTTTACAGCAAGTCTGAAATGTATAATTAAACATATTGCACAAAAGTAAAAATTAAATAAAAAAATCAATCCAAAAGGTGAGTTATTGTGTCTTTCAGAAAGATGTACATCCCTATAACCATCCAATCAAACACATCTGTTAAACCTTAGGGGAAACATCTTTCTTGGAAATCTGGTTCAATGTCATGAAGTCAAAGACAGAGTTATATAAGCAGTAGACCAAAACAGGATTATTTACAGGCCCTCTCAGTTACCTTGTCTTCAATATGTTCACAAACTGGGTGTCAGAAATAAACGCAGCCACCACAGCACAATGGCTTAATTACCCCTCCCTCCCCCCCCCCGCCATAGTGATGAGTATGAAACCACATCTGCTGCAATTTGAGCTGTGCTCCAGC